CCTCACTAATAGCCGAGTAAAGGGAGTCTCAGAGATATCCGGTATGCTCCTGTGAAGTCCCACCAGCTACCAAGGCTCACGTGGTCGGTAGAGACCGACATTCGTCGCGGGTGTGACGACTGTGACCGGCGGGGACCGTTTGTAGTGGACAAGGGGAAGCCGCAACCGGCAGGGGTTCGTCTGCGGTCAATGGTGCTTTTGTGTAGGCACTGCCTATGGAGAGAAGTATGTTGCCGATGGGAAAGTCCGTCTGTAGCCAATGGGAGAGTAGTCTGTAACCGATCAGAGTAATTTAGCTGCCTCAACAGGTGTAAGGGGTCTGCTTGAAGAGGTATACTGGACAGCAACCGATAACTGAGACCCCATCCGTAGCAGGCTGCAGGTAGATAAGTCCTTACTACTTTTGGCTATTGAAATGAGCCGGTAGGAAGTGGCAATTAAGCCTGGAAAGTGGAAGTGAACTTTTCGTTGTCGACAGGGTGTCGCCAGAGTAAAATGTGGCGGCGCCGTTAACCCGCGCGGGGCTGGGGTCTCCAGCCGAACGCGCGGGGCTGGGGGGGGGGGGTAAATTTTACCCCCCCCCCCCTGTTATCTCCCGAACTAATGGTCCGATTTGGAAAATTCAAACGCCAATCGAAAGCTCTCATCACGAGCTACTAAAAACATGTACTTAATTTAAAGTTTAAGGTCAAGGTCAAGGTCAGGTCAAGGGTACAAATTGCAAGTTTCTACAGTATCGGCCTTGCACCGTAGTTGCCGAAGAATGGAGTCATGGACTGAGACTGATCGCCCAAAACGTGTTCTTAGGCTACCAAGACAATATTCGTTGCATACAATATCATTCAGAGGTCAAGGTCAAGGTCAGGTCAGGTCAGGTCAGGTCACCAAAAAACAAAATATAGAAAATGGCATGTGCGACACATGTTTTATGGGTCATTTTACTCATAGAATTCAATAGGCACACTCAATAAGTGATATGGACCACCTCTGGATAAATTCCAGGTCGAGGTCAGGTCAAGGTCAGGTCAAGTGAGGTCAAATTTTGAAGTTGGTTGTTAAGGCCTGAAAAGGTGTCTATCTGATGCAGTTTTTCACGGCGAATCGAATGATGCTATTTTTGTTCCCGTACGAGGTCTAGAACTTCAAAAAGTCATTTTTCAAAAAATTTGTGTGTCGTGACGTCATAAAATTTTGAATAACTCCCACATTTTTGAACCGATTCTTCTAAAATTTGGTATGTAGTTGCACATAGACCACTTCTCTGACATATATTCCGGTTTTTTCGATAGACTCAAAATTTTGGATTTTATAATCATTTTCCCAAAAAAGTCAATTTTTTTTTTATTTAGGCCAAAATCCAAAAACCGAGATAGCCATTTGATAGACAAAGTAGAATTACGTATAACCTTCTTTGTTACGTCTTGATTCCTTTAAAAATGAAGATGTTAGCGGCGTTTGAAATTTTGCCGTTTTTGAGGCGAAAATGGCGAACATGACGTCACTAAAACGTCAATTTCTCAAAAATTTTCCGACGGATTTCGCTCAAATTTTCAGGGAACGTGTCAAATTGATGTAAGAAAAGGTAACCGCAGGTTGTTTGAAAAGACAAACACTATTCGTTAGAATTGTGTTTTTCTATTGAAAAACAACCGGATACTGAAAGTTTGGCGGCGCTGCGCGCCGCCGTTTTTGAGATATTGCAAAAATTCGCGAGGGGGGTAAAATTTACCACCCCCCCCCCCAGCCCCGCGCGGGTTAACTCGTACATTGTCTGCAGCCTGTCCGGTGACAGCGTCGGCATGTAAATCGTAGGGGAAGGGGGATTGAAGTCTTTCGCAGCTAAACGCCCACGATGACGATCCTATCTCACCACGACGACGTTCGTGTTGCAACGGTGGTAACTCGTGAGGTTCAGCTTAATGTATTCCACGTCATAAGCTCTGTTCTGGCGTAGCTGTTTTCGTCAGTTCTCCGGGAAATGATACATGAAACGTAAAAATGTGATTCTCTGAAAATTGACTGCAGACTGGATTTAAAGCCCGTTTCTCCTTGCAGGTTTGCTTGTGTTACCTGAAATTTGTCGTGTATCTAAGAATGAAACGTGTTTTCCAATTATTCGTGATAAGGAAACGCCGTTGTACGAAATGGCCATACGCGCAGCCAGAATTTCATTGGAAATTTATCATTAATTTCTGGCAAGGAATACTCAACTTTAAGTACCTACATATGGTGCTTAACCCGGGCCCCGCTGCAGAGAATGCTCTTACGCTGTATTATTAAGGATGGATTTTGCTTGCAACTTTTGATAAAGGAAATAATGCTAAAATAAATAAAGCTTGCGTGGAATTGAGCAGCATTGCATCGTAAATACATAGTATTCGACTAGTTATTGAATCAGACAGACCATTATATGAATTTATCCAATGACCCCTTGAATGAGTCAACTGAGTGTCAAATAAGTGAATGAGTCAACTAAGTAATGTAAATAGAGTGAATAACCTTATGCTCATGTTATATGTTGCAAATTGATATAATTAAAACTAAATTGATATATTTCGATATTGCACCGTCATCAGAATGACATCAGAATGACGTCATCATTCTGATGACGGTGCAATATCGAAATATATCAATTTAGTTTTAATTATATCAATTTGCAACATATAACATGAGCATAAGGTTATTCACTCTATTTACATTATTAATCATGCTCAGAAATACCATAGCTTACCTCCAAGGAGTCAACTAAGTGTTATTTCTTTAGAGCGGAGAGCGGGGAACAGTGGGCAACCCCCGCTGTCCTAGCACTCAGCACGTGACGCACTGATCCCTCGACCACCTTGCAGAGATCAGTAATTGGTCACATGTTTACCTACATGTTGGGGTTGCAATCTGGGCCCGTAGAGCTCTGTTCGAACAATGCCGTGTTTTGTGGTCAGTTCCAGCCATTTTACACGGAGAAACGTGCGAGTAATTATGTGACGTCATTAATCGCTTCCCTTCATGTTACCCCTTGCCTTTGTTGACTCATGATTGGTCAAGGCTTTGATAACAGGTTGCATGTTGCAGAGCGGCATAGGCCAGTCATTGAATAAGATGAACATTTCACAGCTTTTTAGTAGCGCTTGATTGTTTACAGCTCGTATTGGTAATCCGCTCACGACCTGAAGCTTCGCCCAACGTTTACTAATTACCATGCCAATATGAGTTGGCTCACACCGTATTTTATTGTGATTCTGCTTTATTGAGACGGAGGCAGCCGGCCAAACCTTCACATCATTTATCGGTGTGTTCATGTTGGTCCTATAATTGTAACGTAGTCCGATGAATAGTCAACATAGCTTTTACCTATACCTGTTTTACAAACGCCGTAGGCTCGCACTTCTGGGAAAACGAAGCATCCGCTGACGTATCGTATCGTTCATGTGTTTTCAAACCGCTCCATATGCAGTAGTCAAGCGGGTTCAAAGAAAAGGAAGTGACCAAAAATAGTCAGTTACTGACAGCTCGCGTTTACGAAATGCATGCCAGCTGGTTATGTAATGATTGTCGTGTGATTGCCGTGGGTCGATTTCCCTCACAGATCCATGACGTTTTCCTCGCTGACCTGTTTCTTTGTTTGACTAGTGGCCTGTGCGGCCACACCGTGCAGTCGCCGTTCCTAACCAGGCGGTGGCCTCGGGCTCTGGAATCACAGCGCGGAGTTCCCGGGCGCGCCGCGGTTCCCGGTCGGCTCTCTGTGCCCCGCACCTCACGCAGCGCCGAGGGCGAGCGGCCGGCCGGCCGCGCCGCGGCACGAGTCACTTGGTTCGGTGAACGGCCGACGGCGGCTGTCCGACCGGTTCGACCAGCTAGGGATGACGGAGGGGTTCAGCCCGCTGTCGAGCTGCGGCTTGCCCTGCGATTGAAAGGTCAACAACTGTGCCGGACAATGATCTACCTACATATTTTCTAGACTATAATGAGCTCTGCGGGTTCACCGGTTAGCGGTAGCTTTTATGAGGCCAGTTTCTGGTAAACACTGAAGTAGATGAAATCCCAAATCAACCAGAAAAAAAATGGAGAGATTAAGCCTAGAATATCAATCCATAACCATGCATTGATCTATCGCTTGTGCATTGAATTGATGAATGATCATTAATTGTAAGCGTAAGTTGTCAAAAGCATGTCACTGATTGCTCGCTGCTCACTGCTCAAGACCTCAGAATGACAATACTGGTACGCAGCTGAACCATGCACATCAGTCTCTACCTTCCTCAGGACAAACCCATCTGCATCCCCTCACGCTTCCCTTTCCGGGCTGGCGGTCACCCCCACCAGACAACCGGTGGTGCGGGGCAGTCCCATCTTGTCAGATGTCTCAAAAGTTTCATGTGATAAAGTAAATACGAAGATAATATACATGCATCTTACGATGTGATATGATATTAGCCGTTTTCACGACGGCCATCCATTTCCATGGTACACATCTGGTGCACATTTGGTGCAGATTAGGTGCAGATTTGGTCAAATCAGGTTCAGCGTGTCTCTTAGCAGCTAGGGTTGCACTAATTGCTTATATGCCTGCTTTGTCATGTATCAGAGAGCATCATCGACGAAAACACTGAAATAAATTCATAAAATAAAGATATTTTCTGTAAAAGAGATGTAAAAGAGTGCAGATGTGGTCAAAGTAGGTGCACTCGCCGGATAGCCCGTCGTGAAAACGGCCATTATATCACTGCCTAAGCTATATAGACAGCATATATACTTACACAAAGTTCTATGACATGTAATAATTTTCATGAGTCAGCCGTCTGTTGAACAATGTTTGGCTGGATCCATTCCCCGCCCCAGTCGCACGCCAGTTTAGACCAACGTATACTTATTGCCTCCGATTTCAATGGGATAATGTCCGTTAAACGCCTCAGAACCGTCCAATACTAATTTCTCTCAAAAATCCTTAAATCGTCTTCCCCTTTCAGATAATCTGTGTTGTAGGTAATAACTACTCAGCTAATAACTACTCAGCTAAGCAAAACAAAATGACTGGAAAAAGACAAATTTCGGCGTGCCTGTGAACTCTCGGAACAAGTGCTGCTATTCAAAATGAATCACTTATGTTTTTATTCGTTTGTCGTTGAATAAAAGATTAGCGAAAATCATTGAGAACGCTTCTTGAAATCACAGAAATGCTGTCATCTAATTGATGACTGATCATTAATCATTCCATTTATGGAGAACGCACGGCATATACTGACGACAGCTCGTGGCCACTTCCTGGGAACCCTCGCATGTGCCTGTTTGCGCCCGCTCCCAGCTCGAGGAAGCGTGCCGCGCCGCCGCGCCGTCCAGCTAAGCTCGAGCTGGTGCCGTGCTGGACTGTGTGGAAATCCCCAGCGGCAGCGGAGGTGCCCAGCCGGCCTCATAAGTGGCCGGCCGCCACTCGCCACACAGAACTGGCATCGTGAACAGGTGAGGGGCGCACGGGGCAGCGGCGCGCTGCCACGGGGCAGCGGCGCGCTGCTACGGCTGGTGCATAGCAGCACTGGGGCTGTAGTTGTGAACCGTGAGCCGTAACTTTTGCATTCGTTCCTCATGATATTCTTTATATCGGCTTCAAAATTACCGGTAGTCCTTAGGAGTAAATTATTGGCAGCTTGTTTCATTTTTTTTCAGGTTTTTGATTAATGTTTGTTCACCCAAAACATACCTATAATTGTTTTATGGTTTATGCCATACGATGACTGCCTTAATTCTTTGATTATCCATTTTTACAGTATAAGTTACAAACCCTGTGCGTTGTGTTATCGGTGTGGTTAGCAGTTCTCATTTTGTGTGATGTCTAACTCGGCGTGCCGGTGGGTGTCAATTTCAGATCGACCGTCCCCTCTCCCACCGGTCCAGCCTCCCAAGATGCGCGCCGGACTCGCACTGCTGTGTGCCCTGACGGTGCTGACCGTGGCCAGCGCTCGGCCACAGCGCTTCAACCGCTTCCGACCGGTACGTCATCAGTACAAAACACATGTGACGTCACTAGTTTTCAGCCTTTTGGCTTATGGGGTAGCCAATTTGGTTTAGTTTCCAATTGTAAAATGATATAATTTTATGATCCATTTGCTCATTTGAAGAACATTGTTTCAAAATGTTAAGCATTTCTTTGTTTCTCGATCTGTTTTTGTCGTTTATTCTAAGCTTATTTATCAGACACCTGAGAGCAATAAAAACACATTTGTATGTTTCCTTTTTCATCTTCTTGGTGATTGATAAATGATGTCATCAAGTTTCGTTGTCTTTGTGCTTTGCTTTTTTTATTGTATTTTAAACGGTTTCGACCGTTCTTTGCTGAAGCAGAATGTTTGCCAAGCGCTTTATACCATGACTAAGTGTCAATGTTTCTCCCCAGGGCGGCGGCGGATTCGCTAGCGGAAGCGGCAGCGGCTTCGGCAGCATCAACAGTGGGCCCGGTGGCACCGCGCTGAATCTGGGTGCCAACGCCAACACAAACATTGACAGCTCCAACGGCTTCGCCTCGTCGAGCTCCCTGGGCTTCGCTAACGGCCTCAACGTGAGTACCTACCTGTCAGCGTCTACCTGCATCTTTGCAGCTCCCCTCAGAGGGAGGGGGGGGGGGGGCGCTCAGTTCTCCTTACATGGTCACTCTTCATTCACTCATTGCCTACGACGTATTGCTGAGAACTACTATTGCTATTCGCTAGCATGTGGGACAAAGCAGTTTGTATAGAGCTGCCGACTTACTTGAGGCACACAGGTGTGAATAATTTCAAACGATGTATGTTTTGTTTAGGTGAACAGAAGAGGGTGACTTAGGAACTGAGTCACCTCAGTGAAAGTTTACCCTTTTGACGTCATTATTGCCGCTGTTGCTTTGTTTATCTGAGAGCTGTGACGCACAATTCATTGATAAATTCGTCTTTCCTACAGCTCCAGTCGCCATTCGGATCAAGCTCAAACCTGAACACGGGAGGATTCAATTTGTCTCAGGGATAAGGTGAACAACTTAAGGAATCAACCATCAGCAAAACAAAACTATTTGGAAAGACACTAAAACCGTAAAGAATGACACTCGGAGAAGGCCTGAGGATGACGTAAGATATGGGTTATGAACCGTATAAGGCCAGAATAAAGATCGTGAAAATAGTTTTATCGGTGGCCTTATCTGATACGTGTAACGTGACAAACTGAAACAATGAACTGAGCTACCAAGTGTCGTATCGCCGGAAATGAGGGCGCTATGTGTGTTTGTCGTTGGCTGTGGCGGATAATCGGTCGATAAATGAATACAAGACCAAAAACAACCTGTACGCGTTTGTGTGTGTCATAAGCATAGCTAACTAGTTTTGTAAACACGGGCGCCACTTTCCTAAATTTATTGGTAGGGAGGGTTCTACTGGTTAATTATAGGGTTCCAAAGACATTCTTAACATGTACTTTCGCCATAGGGTTAATATTAAAATTATGAAAATATTGGTAAGGCTCGGGCCCTACCAAGCCTATTCAAAACGATACCCATTTATGTAAATACCTACGATGCATCACATCAACACGTCCGAATAAATGCACGAGCTGTTTGTCGTTGTCGCAAGCCGATAAAGTATTAAAAAAGCAGCATATCATTCAACTGAACTGCAACAAAAACAAAGGAGGATCTGTTTAATCTGTTTCTGTTTTACAGTGACTGCCTAAAACTAACATAATTTGTAAGATATCGTCAGTAGGTACTTACCTACTCAATTATAAATATTTGAATATGTACGCGTCAGTCAAAAGCCTGTCACAGAATGTCGAAGCACTAGTCTTTGCAAGTTGCCTTCCCGCCCTCATCTTGGAAACGGCACCGGCCATGTTTTGTCAGTCCTGAGTTGCAATGCTTACAGCCCTTTGACCTGTCAGAGTTTTCAGGTTGACTTGCAATTCGTCAATGAAGTTACAGTTATTTAGGTAAATGTCCCATCCTGTTGCTGAACACTTAACGTAAAAAAAAACAGGCGTATTGCTGTTGCAATTTTCGTCATATACCATGACGTGCTAATAGGTAGGACCATTTTTCACTGCTCATTAATGGCTTCAAAGCGTATCCAGAGTTTCGAAATTCAGCAGCCCAAGCTAAGGAGAGAAGTATTTTCCGAAAATCGCTGCTATGCAGCACAATCTCATTACTCAGCCAAAATGTCTCCCACTGGTAAATAGATTATAAGTAAATTATTTATACCAACGCCATTGAAACCCCCGCCAAGATCTGCTGTCTGTAAATATTGATTTGGTATCGTAAAACCTGTGCGTAAACTGATCGACACATGTCTGTCTGTGGTGGCTTTGCTTTTACAACGAAATCGTTTTTTTTCGCGGGCACGGTACCTAACGACAAAGGTAAAATGAAATAGGTGGGACCAGGGATCGCCTCGCCTTGCCACGAACCCTGCACCTTCGTGAGCTTAGCACTGTGATCAGTTCGTTGAGCACTGAGCACCGCTGTGAGCTCTGGCCACGAAACACGGAAGTAACTGATCACCGCGTCCCTGAGGCAGGCTTCTGTCTCGGCTGTTTCCACTTGCCCACTTCCATCACGCTGATACAGACCTGTCGGGGGGGGGGGGGCTGACGGGCGGCCGTCTAAGCCTGTAGCCTCTGTTAGCGGTACCGGTGCGGACCAGGGTGCGCCGCCCGTGGTAGCTCCAGAGGCGCAGCCGCGGCGGAGTACAGACCTGTTTGGCTCTCTGTGGTCTCCGAGACTCACATGATCGCGGAAAATCCGCCGCTGAGCCTCCGTTCTCGACAAAACCGCGACGGACTGTCAAATAATGCGCCGTGCAGGAAACTAATGCGAAATTGGATTTACGTATGTCAGTTCATGCACTTGGCTTACAAAACTTGAATAATTAATCACCAGGATCAATCATTCTATTTTCCTACATTTCTGTACGCTGTGTACATACAGTGATACAAATTGTTTTATCAAATAGGTAATGAACTCTTCTAAAAAAAAAATCGACTGCGATACCTATTTAAGCTATTTTTCTAAAGTGTACTTAGATTTAACCTCTGGTTGGACTCTTCAACCCGGCCGGGCCCGGGGGTACCTAATCCCAACCACCGCAGACCAGGGGGCGCTCACCCCCCCCCCCCCGTCTAGCTCCGTAAATTAGGGAGATACGGAAACAAAAAGCTGTACCATACAAAAGGTCTTAACGAGACTTTTTTAAAGCATCTAACATTTTTGACCTCGTGTCGATTTTAAAAGTCAGAGGTCAAAGTCAAAGACAAAAACCGACACATGTAAAATGATCTCAAATTAAGTGTTTATGGGACGGCAGGATGCATAAAACCGGCAAAAATGGGTGTACAAAAGAAGAAAAACTGAGGATTTCGATGATGTGCTCAAAATTCAAGTTCAAGGTCAAAGTCATGCTCAAAATTGACCTCAAACTTTGCGCTTTTCTGTATATATTGTATACCGTAAAGTGGGGCTATTTGAAACGGATTTTACAGTTTTTGGCCTCTACCTTTAAGACGGTTCATATTTCTTATAGCATGTAAATTGCAAAAAATGTAGTTCTCTGTGAGCTCTTTCATATAGGTGCATTTTGGTTCAGCTAGTAATAATGATTAAGGTTATTTTTTATGTTAAAGCCTGTTTCAAATAGCCCCATAGGGTGGGGCTATTTGAGACAGTTTTAGTTGCAAAGAAATTAAAGAAAATCGGTCACGCTAGAGATAATTTTTTAAACGCCATGCATTCGGAAATTGAATTTTGATCATTTTGGCAAAAATTGTTTTTTCAAAGACTGTTATATGACCTTTATATTCAATCTTTTCCTTTTTCGTAGAACACTTCATTTCGGTAGGGTATAAAATTGCATCACTATATGCTAAGGCTATCATAATATGATGTGACCCATAGCTTTAAAAATGACAGGATGATCATCAAGGACTATTTTAAAGTCATCGACAGTAAAATTTTGAAAGTAAGTTTTTGTATATAGCCCCGGTGACGTGAAAACAGATGTACCGAAAGTCGGTGGGGCTATTTGAGACAGTCTCGCTACCTTATGAAGCACACTGTAATGATTCAAACAAGGCAAAAGGTTTCCGCAAACATTTGAGTGAATGGTCTGCATGATTGTTTGTTCCATTGTACATCTCCATGCGAAGAAATAACAGAAAAATGTTAACCCTATTCCTGGCGGGCTCCGCCGGGACAAGAAACTGGCGGGGGGGGGGGCGATTCGGCCCCCCCTTCAGATCTCAAAAACTACACATCGCAGCGACAAACGGCGAAGGGCGTTTGATAGGTCGTTTAAAGATCTACAACTTTTACATAAAACATTTTCAGGTCAGGTCAATATTGAGGTCACCAGAGGTCATCAACGATAAAATGTTTTAGAATTAGTTACCTATATAACTTTTAAACTAAGAAACATAGAGACATAAAACCAATACATTTTTTGTTGCTCTCGCCGAGGCGATGCGAAATAAGCATGTAATGACCTTCACAGGTCAATTTGAAATTTGACCTGAGGTCAAGGTCAGGTCATTCATCAATGAGGTTGTGGGGTATGGTCATGCTGCATACCAAACGACGCGCCTTGACCAGGCGAGCAGTTTGGTACCACTTACAAGTCTTTAGCACCATCATGTCGTGATTTATTGACAGAAAAACGATTTATGACGTCACATGACCTCAGATGACCTTTGCCGGTGCCCCTGTCAATTAGCGGCACCAGGATCATCACCGATGAGATAATCTTCCATAATACTGAAAGAATTGGGTGGTTTTGGTGGTTTTGACTCGTTTACACGAAGCAGGAGGCGTTTCAATAATTTCCCATAGGCTTGCAATGTAAAGGTCACGAGTCTGGCCTGACCTCAGGTCACAGATATGAAAATTCTGAGATAAACAAATTGCACATACTGGTACCCCAACTAAAGCCTGAAGAGAAGAAATTGATCGGTCAAAAACTCTAGCTCTGGCGTGATTGCAAACTTTTCTGAGGTAGGGTCACCAAACCGCCTCACACAGCCGCTATCCGGGTTCAGAAGTGGCCAATACCCCAATTTTCGACAAATTTTAAAGCGTGATTTTCTCACATTTTCTGGTCGTAAATTGATCAGACTGTATAAAATCTCATCCAGAAAAAAATATTACTCATTCTGGCACAGATTGGTGGGCTCCCAAAGTACACCGTTTTGTTTTGCTCCGTGAGACCGAACTTGTGCTGCGATTTTCATGTAAATGTTGACGAGTCTCCTGTCATATTCTTTGCTTGAACATGCGTAAGTAAGATATCAGCTGAAAGGGGAAAATGTGCGGAATCCATTGGTAACAAAAGTGCATCTAAAAAACTTCCCACTCAGTTATTGTAAGCTAATTGTTGCACACTTGCACAAAGCAGAAGGGCTTGAGGATTTCAATATTTACATAGGCCTACCAAAAAACGCACAGCGTGCTTCACATCGAGACAACGTCCATAACATTTACCGTACAATTGTGATTCATTTGCTGAAAAAATTAGGTCGGCATCACACTGCCGGCAAAAGTTATTGCAGTTTTAGTGACGCTAGGTCGCCGCCCGGCCGACCCCGATCAGGTCGGCCGGGCGGCGGCCGTGCAGCTGACGTCCGTACGGTTCGGCAGCTGACCAATCAGCTGCGAGAGAGGAGCGCGGTCCGTCTAATCGCTCCCGGCAGTTGCTTGTGCTGAGGGGTGCTCGACGCTCGTGTCGATTGCATTTGTTGGTTGTCGATTGTCGATTGACTTGTGGGTATACTTTCTGGTGACCAATAAATGTACGTCGTCTTAAAGGGACCCTCCCACCTTCAAAAAAGTTAATGAATTGGCATGAAAGTGATGTCGCTCGGTTCAGAAAGAGCAAAAACGAATATCTACCAAATTTCATCGAAAAATATTCACCGGTTTTCAAGATATTAGACTTTTACTTTTGTTTACTTTTTGGGATCTCCGCTGTTCCTAGCGACTTTATTTGAAAGTGCGGCATTTGTTGCGCGCAAAGCAGCATATACCACCGCGTGCTACAAAACGTTTTAGTCAAACATTTAAAAATCGTTAGATATCTGCGCTGACGTCACACATTCAGAGGGGTATTCCTATGCATTAGCCCCTCTGAATCAAAATGCTGCAATTTTGAAATTCAATATTTCCGATTTAAGGCATTTCTCGATGTTGTGAGTGCCGAAACCGGTAATTGTGAGCCAGGGACCCCATTTTGGCTATCTCAACTCAAATCTAATGTTAACCCTCGCATGTGTAGGGGGGGGGGGTCGGATGGACCCCCCCCCC